CTCCAAACTAAACCTCGATTCACAGTATTTGAAATAAGAGACGAATCACATTTATTTCCAGAGATTTGCGATTTTTATTCTTCTTCTTTTAAATCAGATTACATTTTAAATCATTGAGAACATTTAAAGAGTCATCGCTTACAAACATTACAAACAATAAGATAAAAGTAGAAATCTCATATTTACTCTAATTCAATAAACAGTCACTTTGAGCAGATGCTGCTTTCCTTTATATAAATGAAAATTTACAGCCATAATTTATCCTTTTTTATATATAAATCAACTTCAGATATATTCACTTATTTACAGGAAATGAAATTGTTTATATACTAGAATATTTTCTACAAGAAAATTACACTTTATTTTAAATAATATTCGTTTGCTCAAAGTTGTTTAGCAAAAACAAATGCATATAAGAATAAATAAATAAATATGATAAAATGTTTCTTTGGTAGAACTTCTGTTTCCAGATGTTAAATAATAGGTTCAGTAAAATAATAGTAAACAAAACAACCTTAACTTAAAAACAGTGTTTCTGTGAAATTCAGTCAGTTTGATCATCAGTTTGCAGCAGAGACATAATTTTAATAAAAATATCATCATTAGATTGAAATAGAAACAAGAGTTCTAACCCAAAAAAACTGGACAAATATGGACAATAACATATTTTAACTTACTAGTGAAGTGGAGATCAAATACAAAATAATAATACAAAGTAAAAAAAAAAAAGATTACTTAAGTTATTCCAAAAAACGAATCACTAATGTCAATATTTATGGTTGATTGATGTGAAATAAGAGAAAAATAAGTTTAGTTTGTGGTCTTTAAGTTGCCTGATAGCTGAACAGCTAGCTTAGCTAAAGTACTGCTGAAGAGTCATCCAGTTCATGGTCATTCCAAAAAAATTCAAAATCAATACTTTGGAACTTGTTTCCAAATTTGAAGACATTTCTCTTCCCATCCAGGAAACATTTTAATTCAAAATGTCTGGATTAGGTTTGAGTTCCAGGTTTTATACCCAACATTTATAACCCAACAAAGCCTGACTATTAAACATCTTCAAACTTGGAAACAAAGTCACAAAGTCCAGTGGAGAAATATATATATATATATAATAAGAAGTTACTCTACCAATAATACTTGTTTGGTAATGAAGTATTGGAACATGTTATGCTGCAAATGTTGGAAATGACTGAAGTAGATCTCTCCTCTGTTATCTAAGCCATGTTAAAGGTCTGATCACAAAGGCTGCAGGCTGCAGGCTGTAAGGCTGTAAGGCTGCAGGCTTTAGGCTGTAGGCTGCAGGCTGCAGGCTGTAAGGCTGTAAGGCTGCAGGCTGTAAGGCTGCAGGCTGTAAGGCTGTAAGGCTGCAGGCTGTAAGGCTGTAAGGCTGCAGGCTGTAAGGCTGCAGGCTGCAGGCTGTAAGGCTGTAAGGCTGTAAGGCTGTAAGGCTGCAGGCTGTAAGGCTGCAGGCTGTAAGGCTGTAAGGCTGCAGGCTGTAAGGCTGTAAGGCTGTAAGGCTGCAGGCTGTAGGCTGTAGGCTGTAAGGCTGCAGGCTGTAGGCTGCAGGCTGTAAGGCTGCAGACTGTAAGGCTGTAAGGCTGCAGGCTGTAAGGCTGCAGGCTGTAAGGCTGCAGGCTGTAAGGCTTTAAGGCTGCAGGCTGTAAGGCTGCAGGCTGTAAGGCTGTAGGCTGTAAGGCTGCAGGCTGTAAGGCTGTAGGCTGTAAGGCTGTAAGGCTGCAGGCTGTAAGGCTGCAGGCTGTAAGGCTGCAGGCTGTAAGGCTTTAAGGCTGTAAGGCTGCAGGCTGTAAGGCTGTAGGCTGTAAGGCTGTAAGGCTGCAGGCTGTAAGGCTGCAGGCTGTAAGGCTGTAGGCTGTAAGGCTGTAAGGCTGCAGGCTGTAAGGCTGCAGGCTGCAGGCTGCAGGCTGTAAGGCTGCAGGCTGTAGGCTGCAGGCTGCAGGCTGCAGGCTGTAAGGCTGCAGGCTGTAAGGCTGTAGGCTGTAAGGCTGTAAGGCTGCAGGCTGTAAGGCTGTAGGCTGTAAGGCTGTAAGGCTGCAGGCTGTAAGGCTGCAGGCTGCAGGCTGCAGTCTGTAAGGCTGTAAGGCTGCAGGCTGTAAGGCTGCAGGCTGTAGGCTGCAGGCTGTAAGGCTGCAGGCTGTAAGGCTGTAGGCTGTAAGGCTGCAGGCTGTAGGCTGCAGGCTGCAGGCTGTAAGGCTGCAGGCTGTAAAGCTGCAGGCTGTAGGCTGCAGGCTGTAGGCTGCAGGCTGTAAGGCTGCAGGCTGTAAGGCTGTAGGCTGCAGGCTGTAAGGCTGCAGGCTGTAAGGCTGTAGGCTGTAAGGCTGTAAGGCTGTAGGCTGTAAGGCTGTAAGGCTGCAGGCTGTAAGGCTGTAGGCTGTAAGGCTGTAAGGCTGCAGGCTGTAAGGCTGCAGGCTGCAGGCTGCAGTCTGTAAGGCTGTAAGGCTGCAGGCTGTAGGCTGCAGGCTGCCGGCTGTAAGGCTGCAGGCTGTAAGGCTGCAGGCTGTAGGCTGCAGGCTGTAAGGCTGCAGGCTGTAAGGCTGTAGGCTGTAAGGCTGCAGGCTGTAGGCTGCAGGCTGCAGGCTGTAAGGCTGCAGTCTGTAAGGCTGTAGGCTGTAAGGCTGTAAGGCTGCAGGGTGTAAGGCTGCAGGCTGCAGGCTGCAGTCTGTAAGGCTGTAGGCTGTAAGGCTGTAAGGCTGCAGGCTGTAAGGCTGCAGGCTGCAGGCTGCAGTCTGTAAGGCTGTAAGGCTGCAGGCTGTAGGCTGCAGGCTGCAGGCTGTAAGGCTGCAGGCTGTAAGGCTGCAGGCTGTAGGCTGCAGGCTGTAAGGCTGCAGGCTGTAAGGCTGTAGGCTGTAAGGCTGCAGGCTGTAGGCTGCAGGCTGCAGGCTGTAAGGCTGCAGGCTGTAAGGCTGCAGGCTGTAAGGCTGTAGGCTGCAGGCTGTAAGGCTGCAGGCTGTAAGGCTGCAGGCTGTAAGGCAGCAGAGTGGCTGTGTATTTCCCTGGGCCTGTTTCCATAGAGACGGTGTTTAGGTGGCGTTGCGTTTTTGCAACGGAGCAAAATAGCATGAGGAGCATGGAGACAGTATGATGTGACTATGTTTTGTTTTTATTTGCGCCGGGGGGGGGGGGGGGGGGATGGGGGTCCAAAATAAATATTCCATTCATTGACTCATTGACTCTTCAGCAATCCCTCACACTAAGCATGCTTGTAGTGACAGTGGAGAGGAAAAACTCCCTTTGAACAGGAAGAAACCTCCAGCAGCACCAGGCTCAGTTGCAGTTTATGGATTTTATGGGTAACTAATTGTTTTGTGGAGTAACTAACCCATCAGTGGCACTATTGCAAGTCTGATAATAAAACCTTGACCTAGTTTTGTGTCATGTCCCCATCTTTGCGGCGCCTCATTCCCCAACGGCTCCACGCTTCAGCAGCTGCTTCAACCACTGAAGAGAGAATTTGCTCAATTTCATGACTTATGTATATAAAACCATTCTGCTTTCACATCAGTTATACTATGTTGCCTTGTCTCCATCACTCACTACTGCAGACAGAACATGCGCTCATTTGTTGCCAGTCTAGTTTCAAATCTCAGGCTGGACTTCTGCAGGTGGATGAAGAACATCGTTAAGTTGGATTTTAAACACAACAAAACTGATATTGACAAAAGATGGCCGCTCACACTGAGCCTGGTTCTGCTGGAGGTTTCTTCCTGTTAAAAGGGAGTTTTTCCTCTCCACTGTCGCTACAAGCATGCTTAGTGTGAGGGATTGCTGAAGAGTCAATGAGTCGATGCAATCAGCTGGTTTTCCTTAGATAGAAAACTTTGTATCAATTTGACTGTATGATCTGGTTGAACTGTAAAGTGCCTTGAGATGACATGTGTTGTGAATTTGGCGCTATATAGATAAACTGAATTAAATTGAAAAGAAGGGGGGAGCTGATCATTTGGGAATAGACAACAACACCCAGATCCAACATAAATATTCATTTTCATTCTCCATAAGAATGTTATTTTGGATGCTTATACTGCAGCTACTCTCTACATAGAATACTAAGGTTTTATATGCTTATAGAGCATTACTTTTAGGTGTGGTACTTGTTCCATCATCTTAAACATCATTAAATGCTATAAAATCCAAATGAAAACAGAGAAATTAAATGAAAAATAACCATTTCAGCAACCTTTAAAGTGTAACTTCCCCCAAAACAACTTTTTTTGTGGAAAATGAATAATTTATAATTTTTTAATCTTACTGAACATTTTCTATAGATTTCCATCTTATTTATCACTCAGGAAACCTGTTGGGATCTGGAGTTGTTCCACCTTTCCCCAGCAGAGTGCGCCGTGGGTTCTCTGGGCTGGAGCTCACCAGCACACCTGGAGCTCGTCAGCCCATTAGAGGACCCTCTACTTAAGCAGATGCCAGACCTTTCTTCGACGCCGCAGTGTTAGCTAAGTTTGGTTAGCGAACCTGAGCCTCTTTGTCTTTTGATTTTGTCCCCTTGAGAAAACTGAATTCTAACCAGCCTTTGTCTTGTCGCTCCTAGGAAAACCTGTCTCTCGTGTGAAGCTCTGGGAGAGCTTAACCTGAATCTGCCTGCCTGCCCTAGAGAGCCAAACCTGAAGATCTCACTTTGGAATCCACCTGCTGCTCTCAGAAGGAGAGCTAACCCCTCAATCCAAGGTCTGATCCAACAGTCAGAAGTTAGACGCTGCACCTGCTGAGCACTCTGTCAAACCAACAGTCTCTGGACCCAACTGGTTCCCCCCCTCTGAGAAGAAAGCCTGAAACTCTCCAAGGTATAGATCTGCAATAATCTGAAAACTAAACAACGCTTCCTATCCACCTGGTTAACCAAACTGTCATCTCTGCAGACGCCTGAGAATCCAGCCTGGACCTGTTTCCTTAACGCAGTCTTATTTTCCTGTCTCCTGGTAGTGTTCTGCATGTGGGTTTGATTCAGAACCAATCATGACAAAACCTAAAGTTTATAAGATTTATTTACAAGCTTCAACAGAAAACCGAATCCACAGGAAGGATGGCGTCAGGATTCTGCTTCCAGGATGGTCTGTGGAGAATCTGCCGGGGGGGGGGGGGGGGTCCGGCAGCACACAGAGATCATCTAAAGCCTGAAACACAGGAATGGAGAAAAACATGAGACTGACAGGAAAGCCAGAAATCACTGGAACAACTACAGGAGCTGGAAAACTGTCTGGAGAGATTTATCTGGTGATGATCCTTTTAAACACCAGTCAGTTGGATGAGAAGATGGCCGCCAGGTGCAGCAACACAAAAAAACCAAACACGTCAGAATCCTAACAGTATCATGTCAGCCAGTCCTCTGCCACTTTGGCAGAATCTGCTTTGGGAATTCAATAGAACCACATTCAACAGATTGGAAACTTTTTCACTCTGAAAAGGTTGAAAACAATAGAGACTAGAGTCTAACAGAATACCGGGTACAGCTTAACATTTGAGAATTCACAAGCTCCCAAAAAGACATTGTGCCTGAAGCCAATATATGCATTGGCCACCAATACAGATAAGACTGGAACCAATGACATGTATGACGTCAACTAGAAGCAGAACAAACATGGCTGCATGAGCAAAAGGTTGCGGTTGGTGCTTATTGCTCCTGATTTGGAAAGAGATTTATTGATCAGTTAACTCCACCAGTTGTGATAATAAATCAAGAATGTGAAAGGGCACAGAATTTACTGCTGCTGCAAAAGCTTGAAATAGGAGGCAGGTGCACCTTGGAGATTCACCCAATCAGCTCAAGGAATTGTTCCCCTTTTTCATCATCCTGCTTCATTCTATCTCTATTCTCCCACTCTGCAGAATCTGTTAGTTCAATCTCTAACGTTCTGCTCTCTCTGCTTTTTCTCATAGTAGCTTCATCTGGTCTGTTCCTGTTTGGCTGTGACTCCATCCTGGAGAGAAATATCAGCTGTGCTGCTGCCATCAACACCTTTGTTTCTAGATGTTGGAGCTTGGCCTGTTTTCCAGTGTAGTCCTGTTTCTCTGACTGTGACTAACTGGTTGTGCTCTCTTCATCCTCTGACATGGGAGCTGGCTCGGAGCTCGTCTGCCTGGCTGTGTGTTTCCTGGACGGGGCCGCCTGTGGAGCTGGTTGACAGTTGCCTTTTGTATCTATGCTTCTTTTTCTATGTCTGCTTCTGTCTCCTTGAACCCCAGTGGGCCTCAGCAGATGGCCGCTCACACTGAGCCTGGTTCTGCTGGAGGTTTCTTCCTGTTCAAAGGGAGTTTTTCCTCTCCACTGTCGCTACAAGCATGCTTAGTGTGAGGGATTGCTGAAGAGTCAATGAGTCGATGCAATCAGCTGGTTTTCCGTTGATAGAAAACTTTGAATCAATCTGACTGGATGATCTGGTTGAATTATCTCTATAAAGTGACAGGATGTGAACTGCAGATATAGAAATAAATTGAATAGAATTTAATTAAAATTGAACTACATGTAGGAATCTAGCTAATGCAAGGTCAGGTGGAAGACACATAAATTACAAAAGTTTCATCGCTGTGTCGGTGCTGAAGTTAGATCCTTAAAGTAAATGAGTCAAAGTCTGTTGCTGATTGGAGTGAAAAACATCTGAATGTTGTGATATTTCACTCTGAGTAAGGCTACGTTAGGCTACGTTAGGCTACGTTAGGCTACGTTAGGCTAGGTTAGGCTAGGTTAGGCTACGTTAGGCTACGTTAGGCTACGTTAGGCTAGGTTAGGCTAGGTTAGGCTACGTTAGGCTACGTTAGGCTACGTTAGGCTAGGTTAGGCTAGGTTAGGCTACGTTAGGCTACGTTAGGCTACGTTAGGCTACGTTAGGCTAGGTTAGGCTAGGTTAGGCTACGTTAGGCTACGTTAGGCTAGCTGTCCATTTCTCTTGCCCTGATCATATACTAGCTTAACCCCTTCAGGTCATCCTCTCAATCCGCTCTCCATCTCTTTGTCTGACCAATCTGGTTTCCATAGGAACAGGGTAATGTTTGATAGTGTTACGCTTTAAAATGACTTTAAAATAACTGTGAATTATAGAGCACCTTCTACTGGTCTAATGTACTTTGTGGAGCGAGTCTGAAGATCTTTTTTAACTGGTGGCTGTTTTTCATTCACTCTATTTTCTGTGATTGCAGGATTTGTCTTTTGCAGCATTTTCCTGTTGTGTTTGTTTGTTTACTTGTTTTTTGCAGCATGTTTAGCCTTCTGCTGTAGTTTTGCACGTGTTTGCTTCTGTAATGAAAAGTCAAAAAAAACTCCCAGCTCATGTTGAAAACCTATCAGGACTGCTCTCATCAGAAGACCTTCATTTAAAGCCAAGTTCTTATAAGATTACAATCATTTAGGAAAATGTTGACTAGCCTAAAGAGAAAGAAGCAACATTTTATAGACTCATGAAAGCAAGATATTTTTTTTTTCGGTCAAGTAGGTCTAGACAGCTTATCAGATGATTAAATTCAAGCCAGATTAGAGCGTGAAGCACGATGCCCCAGGCTTTATGATATAGAGTCCTTTCTCACACCCCAGTGTTGACCTATTTATTGCACAGTAAGGGTCATTGATGAAATTTATATGGGTTTATGGATTTAAATCACAATTATCATTTCAATATCAATGCTTGCAAGATCCTAATTGGAAAGAAAAGCCTGAATTCAATATTTGGTTGGATATCATAAATTAAATGCAATGCATTTACTGAACACTCTGCATGGCAACAGCAGGTCAGCTGGATCATCTCAGAACGCCCTTGATGCTCATCTTGTGCAGGTGTTCTACCTGGAAGGTACGCCTCAACGAAAAGCGTAAGAAAATGTCAATAATGTAAAGACAATAAGAGCATTTGGTCATCATAATGAATGCCTTATTGCAGTTCTTTCCTGAAATGGAGTGGCTCTGGTGGAGAGTTAAACCATAATGGTTCCTCTTTCATGTGGGAGACAGATATTATTGAGACTTGGTAAAAAGAAATGCTCAAAGGTGCAGAAACTAACAACTATTCAGGCTAATCTAGTTTAAGGTGATGATGACATGTCCAGGGCATATAGGGCCATGTTGGAGGACATCAATGTTCACCCAATTCCCACCAAAACTACACGTTTTCACAAGACAACATCAAGTTCGCCCTGTTTATAGAATCCATTGGTCATTGTGACATCATGATGTCATTCATTGTGACATCATGATGTCATCCATTGTGACATCATGATGTCATCCATTGTGATATCATGATGCTGTTTCAAAGTGCTTTACAAACAAAAGATCAGTTTGGATACAGTAACTTGGAATCAATTTAACCTCCTTTTATAGAAATGATAAAGTCTCTTCCTGCTCCGTTATATTTTTAAAAACACTGGAGTCAAGTTTAGTTTATTACGATAATTGATTAAACTTCTGTCACTGATTGTGAAAACTGGTATGGAAGTAAATCTGTGCCGCTGGGATTTAAATTAAAAATGTTCCTTAAAATATAAATGTTTATTTTGTACTTACTCTTTCTGTGTTAAGATTTATCCAGAAAACATTTTTAATCTAAAAAAAAAAAACATTAATTGTCACTATATCTATATAGTTGAAATTGTATTTGTTATTTTCACTTCAAGCTAAAAATTCAGGACTATTTCACAGTTAATACATTTTCAATACCTGTTTTTTTTTCAGTTTGACTTTTCAGTGTTAAAAAAGCAACATATAAAAAATTCAGCCTCTTAAAATTCAAACTCAATATTTTCAGCAACTGAGATTCAACTGGATCAATTTCACTGTTAAATTCAGCGTCTAAATTCAATGTAAAAAGGTTACTTCAGGTCACAGACATTAGCAATGGATTGTGGCGTCCAACACCCAGCTAATCCCGTACAATACTTGCAATTGCAACTTGTTGCAATACTACAGAAATATTAAAGCAATAAACTCACCGATGCGTTAGTTTGCATGACCGCCTCCTTGATGCTGGTTTTCCTTCAGTATGAGCGCCAAAAACGTCCCGTCACGTGACTAAGAAACTGTAACGGGATTTGCTGGGTGTTGGACGTTATATCCAAGTAACGTTGGAAGACGTTACTGGATATAACCTAACGGAATATCTTCAGAACGGCTCCAAATGACACTAAACTCATATGGGAGAGTAGAACATGATGGAATAACGAGAAATCAAGGGACCAATGGAAAAAACCCGAAATTCGACTTTAATACTAGAAAACCTCCCACCAAAGGCTCAAGAATAATCTGACACTGATGGCTGGGACCAAGCACTTTAAATGGAAGCAGGAGCAGCTGGATCACGTGAGCAGTGATGAGAAACAGGGCCGAGCTGGACAGGTGAATGAAATGATTAATTAAGCCAGCCATCAGCGCTAAGATCAGGATAATATCTGGTTGTCTTTTGTACAGCAGCACTTAAAATGATGCGTTACTATTTTACTGGACAACTGGAAAATATCCTGACAGACTGAAGACATGCTAAACGGGCTGCTAACATGCTAAACGGGCTGCTAACATGCTAAACGGGCTGCTAACATGCTAAACGGGCTGCTAACATGCTAAACGAGCTGCTAACATGCTAAACGGGCTGCTAACATGCTAAACGGGCTGCTAACATGCTAAACGGGCTGCTAACATGCTAAACGGGCTGGTAACATAACAACCTTGTTGCTCCTTATTAGCATCAGCCTTAACAATGTCTCATGAAATTGTAGACATTTGATATCGTTAATATAGAAGGTCAAATGTGGTCTTTATAAAATCAGAGCATTATGACATCTCTGTATTTCAGTGGAGACCTTTCCTCATTTCAATAAAGCTCAACTCTGAACAAACAAGCTGTGACTGAAGATGCTCCATCTGAGCCGAGAATTATGTTCTTCTTCTGAGGGCTGAAAAAAACAACTGATCCAGCAAAATTTGAAGCTTGTAAACGACACATGATCTGTGCTGCCCGATAAGTTTCACTACGATAATAAATGCTACAATAAAAGTGACCTTAGGGGACTAACCAAACGTTCAGCACATGGATTCCTGAGAAGTTTGAAATGTTCTGGAAACAGAGAAGTTTTCCTTCCTGCCTCCTTCTGGTTCGTTATCGTTTGCATGATTTTCTAATTCTCTTTCCTCTTTGCT